CTTTCTCACAGCTCACAGATCTGTGAGGAAGGTACCAGGAGGCAAGCGATATACTTTTGGGCACCCCTCTTCTTCAGGGCACAAGAAGCAGGTGCCGCAGTCCAATTTCGTTAGCAGGGCACCTATGTAGATTATCTCATTGTGTTCTTTGGAGAAATACAATGTTATATTCTTATGTAGGTGTTTTTGTATTGATGTTTTCGTTTCTGTTAATTGCATGAGAAGACAATGCAAAAGCACTATATGATTTCTGGGATGAATCTCAAAAGATTTCATGATATTCTTTCTAGTTCTTATAGGACCACAATATTTTTTTTTTTTGACTGGCAAACTCCAATAGGAGGAAATACTTATTATTGTCTCATTTTCTTGTCTCCTAATGAGTTGTGTTCAAATAGATCTAAGAAATACTAAAGCCGATCTCTGTTTCTAGTACTGATTTTGCTTCTATTTTCCAAGCATTGTGCTTAAATTTTCTTTTAATCTGATCACTTAAGTGGTGGATTTGTGATAGTGGAGGCTGAAGTCCACTATGCATGGAACTGGCACAGCTTGGCACTATCTCTACATTCTTCTGTGTACTATCCTGCCAGCATTTTTCAGTCCTACTTTGGTGGTATACCATTCAGGTATGCACTCAAACCTTGCCTTCTAAGACTGGTGTAGGCTGTCACCTATGATGAGGTTTTTCAGCAAATATCCATTAGGAATGTATTTGCCATGGTCAGATCTTTAGGGGTGTGTGCATATTCCTAATTTTAAAAAAATCCTCTTTGTAAAATCCATATTTGCTCACATTTTCTGTGGGAAAAGATTGTTTGTATACATAAGCTAAGCCAGCTATTTTTTCACTTAATGAATTCTTGTAAAGCCTGGAATGTGCATGCTATTAAACGACCAAATGTACTGAAGCAGTGATACAAACACAAACATTTGGAGGTGGCTTACTTTCGCTTTGGTTCTAGTTTTGTCTTCATTAAGAAAATGATATTTTCTAGACTTGAGGTAACATTCTTATAATTCTTATTTTGTAATCGTCATACAGTACAGTAACTTGGGGAGGGGGGTGTCCTTAACAGTATCTGATAATTCATGGGACAGCTAAAAACTGCTGTATCTTTACTAGATTTTATCTTGAGTCAAGACAGGTTTTTTTTCTTCCAGATCAGAGTACTAGAGGAAGAAGTTTAAACAAATCAGGGACTTAAGAGATGGGATGTCTTCAAAAGTAGGGGTTGGGTTTCCTTCCACCTGTGTCTCTTACCTATGTACTGTGTACTATGTACTGTCACCAGCAAAACAGTCTTCAATATAAGTTGCCTGAGGAAAAATTAAAATGCTCAATAATAGTAAGAGGAGAAGATAATGCCAGCATTTAGGAAAATAATCTGGCCTTCAGTATTCAGTATAAAAGTGCTATAAATATTATAAGTCTCCAGCAAGGTAAAAAGTGAGTGGAAGTTCTATGCGTTTTCTTATGGTTCTTCATAGTTATCATTAATGTAAATGTGTCATTTTCCTTCCAGTCAAAACAAGATATATTTTCATAATCCAAATGTATAGAGTGGACTTTTATATGTAGATAATTGCTGCACCCCTTAGTTAATTGCCAGATAAATCTGACAACAAGAATTAACATTTCAAAATCATTATAACGCTTTACACGCAATGAATTTTAAACAGTTGATATCCAATTTCTGATTTCCTGATAGAGGTATCATCTGCTTAGTTTTTTGTGCTAAAATATTTGTATTAAACAAATATGTTAAAATGTTTTAAAACTATCAGTTTGTTTCATATCACCATGAAATAAGTGAGACTGTTTGCTTTGCCAAAAGAAGTTTTTTGGGGGGAGGGAGGAGTTAAGATAAAAACGGAAAGTTACTATATTAAAAATGTAAATGTAATAAATTGGACCAAATAAAATCTAATTATTTTAAGTAATTGAATAAACCATGACAGGGTAATGATTTTAATTGTTTTCCTCATTGGTGGCTCTAGTTAAACTAATAGTTCATGCCCTTGACCCGTGATGTGATTCTCTGTGCCCATGTGGAATGCTGTCGATGTCACTTCACTTTGCTGTTCTTGTAGACACCATGAGGTTGGGCTCTTTACTGTTCTTTGTGAAGTAATGAACATCATCTGTTTCCATTAACTACAAAGTGGCTTAATCCCTCAGAACTGAACAGGTTAATTTGATCCCTCCAATCTGAACAGCAGTACTGTGCATTACCCTCTCCCTTGGGGGGCAGAAAAAGTTTGAAGCAAAATGCAACTCATGGAAGATAAAAGCTTGTTTTTCTGTTTGCCAAGGGATATGTGAATTTTTAACCAAAATTATATACTGTTTCCTTACTGTGACAGTCCAGGGGAAGAATGTAGTCATAGTGCTATATACTCAATAATCAGTAATGCTCGTACATCACATGCGCTATGTTAAAAAGACACTTGATTCTGACACAAACAATGAAATTCACAGTTACGGGTGGGCATGAAATATCTGCCTTTCATTGTGTAGGCAAAATAATGCTGGTAAAAATATTCTAGACTGGGGGCAGTTTTCTACTGGAGATATGTGCACCAATTTAACAGAATTTTGTGCTTAATTGATGAGATGGGAAACATGCTTAAATAGTTAATTCTGTACTTTCAGTTATTTATTATGACCCTTAAAATCAAATACAATAAATAAAACCTTGGTGATTTATATATTAATTGTGAAATGGTATAAGGCAGATTTTCAAAAGTGGCCAAGTGACTTAAGATCTGAAAAACTTGTCTACATAGGAAACACTGTATCAGTTATAGAGCTTATAAATCTAGTAATATAATTCCTTGTGTGAATATTGTTATTTTGGTACAAGACCACCTTTTTCAGTTTGACTCATTGTTTGAAAAAAGGTTAAGCTAAACCGCAAGTAGGCATGTTTGCGGAAATAAGTGTTTACATAATGTTATAGGTGTATAACAGGTAAAACTTTCCCATGTAGACAAGGATTAGCCATTTCTGTACTTTTCTGTACTCCACCTTGACTTGTTTTGAAATTTATCAGGAATTTCTGAGGTACTAATACATAATAAAAAATAATTTTGCAAAGTTAATCAGAATTAACAATTTATTTTAAATTTCTCTCCATATGCATCTTTTAGACAGCAATTAGGAATATTTTCACCAGCAGTGTCTGCTAGGGACTGTGCATGGTTTCATGTCCCGTTTCCCCTCTTGCCTCCATTGATAGCAGTGGAGCAAGTGGTGGTATGAGCAACAGTGTGGGGGTTAACACAGTCATCAGTCCCCTCTCTCTTTCCCCACCCCACCACCAACAGCCATGGCCAGGAGGCTCTTTAGTTGGGAATTTGGTGACAGGCCATATGTTTGGCATCCTTGATTTAGAGAGTTGGTATTCAGTGTCTCAGAGCCTAGATCCCTGAAATGTAAGTATTGGCTTCCTTGTAGAGTGGTAATTCCCTTGAGTGATGGATGCAGAAGATACCTTTTATTGTTTGGGAGAAAGCAGCATTCCCTCTGAAATTTAGAGGTGCTTCTCACTAAAGCTGGGTTATAAGAAATTCTATAGATTTGTTTTTTATGTTGTCTAATCAGCACTGTAAATGTGAGCATACTTTCTAGCAATGAAGAGATTTTGGAACTTGCAGAAATCTTAAAGGTCACATTTCCTTTAATTTTCCAAAACTTAAGGTGAACTGAGGTATGAAATTCCCCCCCTTCCCCCCCCCACCCCCCCTCCAAAAAGGCTTGGGATGGCTTATAATGTGCACACTGTATGTCCAAAGGTATATTTTTAAAGGAACAAAAAACTGGATTCCTTTAATATGGGTACCATGTAAAATGGTTCAATAGTTAACGCAAAAAATGATAATTTTTTAACTCTTTAAAAGACTATCTAGTTCTATCCCTTGGCATATGCATTTCATCTTTTAGAAGGGAAAACTACAAACTTTCACATTTTTTAAAATAAAGAGCTAAGCTGCTTTCTATGAGGCTTTCTGAGGAAGAAGGTCAAGATTCAGAAGAAGAAGCGATCTTCATTCTCTGCTGGTGCTTCTCAACCAAGACGTGGGTCAGAGCCCTCAATTTAAGATAGCTGAGTTAACTGAACTCGTTGATACAGTTTTATATCCTTCCCTCTCCATTTAGTTCCTGTATTTTGTCTTTTCAAGGAAGTGTAGCCTGGGTCTTGCAGGTCATTCAAGATGGCTGCTTGGGGGTGGTACCCATTTATATCTTGTTGCCCAGCTAATTTGGAAAAGCATGCGACAGATACCAGTCAATTCAGAAGATACTTTGTTCTGTCAGATCTGAAAATTGGCCAAGTCCATGTTAACTTCATCTCAGTCCATCATATTAATCCAGTCCATCTTAATTTCATATGGCAAAGGCCTTTCGTCTGCCTGAGAGATTTTAAGTTATTAGCCAGCCAACCTCAGGCTTGCAATTATAAAAAAACAAAAAACCAAAAAAAAAAAATGTGGGCCTTTTGCCCTTAGGAGGGTGGAGGGCATACACAGGCCCTTATGAATACTGCTGGTAAAGATATTGCAACCCCTTGTGCAGAGGATCACATGCACAGAACATCTCAAAAGCCATTTATTTGAGGTAGGCAACCTATCTTCATTATATTTCTCTTGCTTCTAAACCCCACAAATACCTTGGTTCCCTTTTGGTACTGGGTCTGCAACATACAAGAGTCATTTGAAGTTAAATATCCTTAAATTTAGAAAATATCAAGTTTTAATGTAATTAAAACTACTTAATTTTCCTTCGTGTGCTATATCAACATTTTACTTGATCTGTGGAAGCCTCAGAATGTTCCAGACCAAGTCAAACATAAGTTCTATACAGAAGAAAGAAAAGTTAGGAAGCCTCCTACCTAAATTTATAAGAGAAACTTTCAGGCGTCTTTGTTTGTCATAATGAACCAAAAATGGAATGATCCCATTTTGTTTTTGTTTTTTTTTTTTTCTCTTTTGTGCAGATCATCTCTAAACCTAAGGGACAGAAGAGGGATCGTCACTTAATCATCACTTAAAACTGTCATATGTACTTCCAACTTTCAAAGGAGATTACAAAATGGAGTTAATCTGAAGCAAAGTGAGTAAGCGTAGTGTGCATGAAAGTGTCTGTACCCAAATGCATAGACTGAAAAGCAGTAAAAATGTGAAATAATCCAAAAAGCTGTGAATTCAGTTATTGGGTATGAAACCTGTAGATATGTGCTAGACAGGATATCCTAATGTGGCAGATTATATTGGTGGGAAAGTGCGTGTCTTAATACTCAGACCAGAGCAAGGCTTAAACAAAACATGACTACAGTTTGCTAGGAAGTCTCATGCAAGGAGCAAAAAGTGACCATTATGGCTTTAGAAAGTTCAGAAGATAAAAAAGGATCCTGTTCTTGTAATGAAAAATGAGGATGTAACAAAACAAGACTATCCAGTCAGGTAAGGCTTACAGTCAGTGTTGATAGGAGCACAGCAAGAAAACAAAACAAGCTGCTGTAAATTAAGGGTCGAAAAAAGTGTAGAGTGCTTTTACCAGTATTTCCTGTGAAAACGGGTAATATTAGGAAGTTAAAGATGTTAATTCCTGTTCAGAAATTTGTGCAACATAAATATAAATCAAAGCAATGTGTAGGCTTTCTGAAAATAGCTATTGATAAAGCATGTTAAGGAGGTGTTTGAACTACTTCAATGTATACAGATAAAAGTAGACGAGGTTCTTTGAGTAAATTTGAATGTCTTCTATCAGACCAAGTTGGTCTAATAGAAGATATTGTATTCACCCAAAGACCTTTGTCTGCCTATGTCCTTAGACCAACACAGCTATAACCTATGCCCTGTACAGATACAAGTTGGAGAGGATAGTATATTATAAAGTGCTAAAGACAAATTAGCGTAGCAAACAAGTTTATTTTAAAAAAAAAAACATATTGAGCTGTAGAAATAATAGTGGTGGTAACATTAACCTGACAATTACTTTCTAATTTTGACTTCCAAATCTACTAACATACATGTACAAATATTAATATTAAAAATAATTAAACTTCTAGAAGTTCATAACAAGCAGCAGGGAATTACTAAAAAAATAAAAAATCTTGCCAAAGTGCTTTTTTGATCGTTATAGAATTAGTGGAAGGAGATATGGTAGATTGCTTTACAAAATCTAAAAATATATCTTACTGATTAAGTAGTACATGAAATTCTACTTGCAAAACACGTTCTAATTAATGTAGATATAACTACCCTTATGGGAATTGAAAGCTGGGCAGCCAATTACAGAAAAAGGATGATTAAAAAAAAAAAAATCTTGGCTGGGGTCAGGGATGTAAATATCATTTAAAAAATTGTTTAACCTCCTCTAATTGTATCGGTTAAACGGTTAACTGATAACACATGCCTAGTCCTGGGTTGTCACAGGGCACTAAGGTGTGCCTCTTCCTTTAAGGGCAGAAACCGCTTAGAGAGAGGGCCCTAGAGGCCAGGCAGAAATCCCACAGGTTTAGGTTGCCATGGCAGCAGCCTAATGAGGAAATTAGCCTGTGCCTGCACCTGGTCAGCTGACCAGAAGAGGGCAGGGCCCTTGGCACATGTAAGCCCCATGGCTGGGGCTGGAGGTGGTCAGTTTTCTGGCAGCTCTCAGGGGAAGGAGCCCTTATAGAGAAAACTGCTTGGAGATGCTTGACTGCCTGTTCTGCTGCTGGTAGGATTAAGGGGTTATAGAAGCTGATAAGTACTTGCGAGTAGAAGGTACATTATACTGAGAGAAGTTTGCCACCTTAAAAGGTATAGCGTGTGGACCCCAGGGTTATTGTTGTGTTGTAGCCCCAGCGTCAGAGGGTGCAGCGACAGGGTAAGGAGACCCCAGCACCAGAGGGCGTAGTTACTGAGGCTATGGGTCCAGTGACAACAAAAGGCCAAACTAAACTGATGCCTCATCACTAGAAACAACATCTAAATACCATCTGTGTGGCTTGGGGCATGGTAAAGGGGTGGTTTTGGAGCCATGCGTCTAGTCCATAAGGCTTGGGGTGTCTTGCAAGGCACCTGTTTGGCAATCGCTGCCAGATAACAGCCCACTGAAGCCACAGGTGGTAGCAGTAGGTGAGAGGCTTTTCCAGCCTATTGTAGCCCCTGGGGCAGGCAGTTAACTAGCCTGTTATCTCCCACCAGCTGGCTTCCCAGCACCTGTAAATGAGCAGCTAACTGCTTAATAGACAAGTGATTAGGCTGCCCACTGTTTTCCATTTTAACCTTCTAAGTCAGGGGTCAGCAACCCCCAGCACGTGTGCTGAGCATGGCACTCAAGGCCATTGTGCTCAACACCCCACTGCCAGCCTGAGCTCTAAGCAGCTGCTGCCAGCCACGGAGCCCAGGCTGCTCCCAGCAGGCGGCTGGGAGGCTGTAAGCCCTGCTGCAAGCAGTCCTTTTGCCAGCTGCAGCCGGGAGGCTGCAAACAGCTGCTCCGGGCATGTTGGCACCTTCCAAGGTACACATTGTGGTATTTTCAGCACTCTGGCCAAAAAACGTTTCCTACCCCTGTTATAAGTTATGGGTACTAGTGGTCCCCCCATCTTGTCTCCCCCTCCTCTCCTTGCTTCTGCTGTCTTCCTGTTCCTGATGCACCACACTGCTTCCCTTCCCCACCAGCCTTCACTCTGCGCTGAATGTTAATTGGTAATGCGTTACTAGTATGAATATACTTACCATTTAAATGTTTGACCATTCACATCCCTAGTAGGGATGTAAATATTTTTTAAAAAAATATTAGTTTAACCTCCTCTAACTTTATATTTGTTAAACGATTTACAAATAGCACAGTAACTCGGAGTCATTTGTCTAGGTGGGCTTGCTTCCCTTACCCCACCCAACAACACAATCTACTAAAGCCCTGCTGGGAAGAAGGGAGCACCTGTGAATGAGCAGCTAATATCTTAACTATTGAGTCATTAGGCTGCATCCTGTTTTCCTCTTAGGCTATGGATACTAGAGGTGCACTGATGCATCAGCCTGATATCGGATCAGTACCAATATAAAAAAAATGTACTATTGGAAATAGGCCTGAAGTGGCTGATAATTTGGCTGATAAATGCTTGTGCATGTGCACAGCTGCAGCACAGCACGCAGGCAGCCAGGAGCGTAGCTTGGAAGAAAGGGAGTGGGGAGGGAAGGGGCATGAGGGGGCAGATAAACACCCACTGTGGTGAGGGAGGGAGTGGGACTGGCGTAGATGCGGGATGGAGTTACAGCTCGGGGGGGGGGCGGAGCAGTTCCTGCTGTTGTGAGCTGCTCCACCAGCAGCTTGTCCTGCCACTGCTCCTGCTGTTCAGCCCAAGCCAGCAGCTGCAGCCCACCCTGCACAGATCTGGGG